CCTTTAAACTTAAGGTGTCAGAGGAGTCACTTTTGGTTCCCTAAGTCTGTCAGGTTCTTTTTTGGTTCTTTTTTATATGTTTTGAATGATCTGCGCGAGGAGCCTTTTTAGAGATTGTTCAATGGTTCTTCTCTATGATGAAAGTACCAAAAAGGGCTCAGCATGGTTCCAGTCACTGAACCTCAAAGGTACACTGTGGGCCGTATTACAGACACTTCCAACACAAAAAATACTTGTGAGAACATCAATAAACTGGCAAATATTCATGGCGAAAAGCTACTGTTTTCAAAATTACCCTATTCACCTGTAATGTGTCCCCTTAAATGATTTTCCTAGAGCCGTGCATCCGAACTAAGAACCCTTTAGGAACCTCTATTTTCAGGAGTGATGAATTCTGTTAACACACAAGAGAAAAGAGCTCCTACAGAGCTTTATCGGTTTACACCTCAGGCCTCCAATTCATTCTCCCTCTCTGTCACAGCTGTGGTCAAGGACAGGTCATTCACTTCTGATTACGAGTCCTCGTGTAGGAGAAGCAGGAGGTTCAGGTGTGAATTGGAAGCAGTGTGAGTCATGAAGAGTGGATGATGTAGTTTGGCGCTGTGTGAATGGACTTGTACTTAAAAAGGAGTCATCTTGGATTTTTTTCATTTTATGTTCTACAAATCTCAGATTCCAAACATGTTGGACAAGTATGTGAAATGAAAATAAAACCAAAGCAGTGATTTCCACTTTGACCTGTACTTTCATATCTTATCAGTTTCATTGTTTTTTGTGAATATCCGCTCTTTCTAAAACCAATGTCTTCAACACACTGTAGGAATGTCATACAACTTTCTAAAACATCTTAAACAGGTGATGTAATCATGCTTGACTATAAAAGGAGCATCCAGTAAAGGCCGAGCTCTTTACAGGCGAGGATGGGTCGAAGCTCAACACTTTGCTTTAAATTGCATCAGCAAATAATCCAACAGTTTAAGCAACTACAAAAGATTGCAAGGATTTTAGGTGTTTCAACCTTTACAGTGCAGAATAACACGAATGAATGAATGTCAATAAACACCGTCCGTCTCTGCACCCACAAAATTAAAGCTGTACTATGTACAGTAAATGTCATGTATCAACAATGTCCAGAAACACTGCCTACTTCTCTGGGCTTGAGCTCATCTGAAATGGACAGATCCTCAGTGGAAACATGTATTGTGGTCTGACGAGTGAACCTTTCAGATTGTTTATGGGAATAATGTATGTCACTCAGCGCTGCCCTCTAAAGGCATCATTAACGAACATCAAATAAACAAACGTCGCTCAGCGCCACCCTCTAAAGGCATCATTAACGAACATCATACAAACGCTGCTCAGCGCCGCCCTCTAAAGGCATCATTAACAAACATCATACAAACGTCGCTCAGTGCCGCCCTCTAAAGGCATCATTAACGAACATCAAATAAAGAAACGTCGCTCAGAGCCGCCCTCTAAAGGCGTCATTAACAGACATCAAATAAAGAAACGTTGCTCAGCGCCGCCCTCTAAAGGCATCATCAACGAACATCATACAAACAAACGTCGCTCAGCGCTGCCCTCTAAAGGCATCATTAACGAACATCAAATAAACAAACGTTGCTCAGTGCCGCCCTCTAAAGGCGTCATTAACGAACATCAAATACACAAATGTCGCTCAGCGCCGCCCTCTAAAGGCGTCATTAACAACCATCAAATAAACAAACGTCGCTCAGCGCCGCCCTCTAAAGACGTCATTAACAAACATCAAATAAACAAACGTCACTCAGCGCCGCCCTCTAAAGGCGTCATTAACAACCATCAAATACACAAACGTCGCTCAGCGCCGCCCTCTAAAGGCGACATTAAAGAACATCATATAAACAAACGTCGCCCAGCGCCGCCCTCTAAAGGCGTCATTAACACACATCATACAAACAAACGTCGCTCAGCGCCGCCCTCTAAAGACATCAGTAACGAACATCAAATAAAGAAACGTCTCTCAGCGCCGCCCTCTAAAGGCGATATTATTGAACATCAAATAAAGAAACGTCCTTCAGCGCCGCCCTCTAAAGGTGTCATTAACAAACATCAAATACACAAACGTCGCTCAGCACCGCCCTCTAAAGGCGTCATTAACAGACATCAAATAAACAAACGTCGCTCAGCGCCGCCCTCTAAAGGCGTCATCAACAAACATCAAATACACAAACGTCGCTCAGCGCCGCCCTCTAAAGACGTCATTAACAAACATCAAATAAACAAACGTCGCTCAGCGCCGCCCTCTAAAGGCGATATTAACGAACATCAAATAAAGAAACGTCCTTCAGCGCCGCCCTCTAAAGGCGTCATTAACAGACATCAAATAAACAAACGTCGCTCAGCGCCGCCCTCTAAAGGCGTCATCAACAACCATCAAATAAACAAACGTCGCTCAGCGCCGCCCTCTAAAGGCGTCATCAACAACCATCAAATAAACAAACGTTGCTCAGCGCCGCCCTCTAAAGGAGACATTAACAAGCATCAAATCCAAGCCAGTAGTAGCAGAAACGGACTTTGAAATGTCATATTTTTAGTGTCATTTCTTTTCTTGTTTTTTTTTCATTTAGTCCAAAGATGTTAAAACTGAAAATAAATCTCAGCAGCTATTTTGAGAGGATCCAAAAGCTTTTCATTTAATATAAAACCTTTGTTTTTGATGCCATGGAATTTTTCATTTTTATACCTCACGATATATAATGCAGAATTTTTTTCAGCTTTATAAAAGTTCATCACACTCACATCTCACTTCCAATACAGGTCCTTTTAAAGAGCTCCTGTTTGGCACTGTTATTTTTTAGACTAGACTGTTTGATGGTTCAGTTCTCTGTGCTCTCAGCACTTTAGAAACATTAACACGTCTCTCTTTTGCTGACAGACCGCTGCGAGGTAACGTTCCTGGCTCACGTCAGAGAGAATTTAAGCGATGTGGAGAGCTGCTCTGGTCTGGTGAGGTCTTACATAAAACGTGTGGTGAGTAATGCAGGAACAGAGGAATGCAGGGCTGTGTGAAGGTGATGGAGTGATTTAGACGCTCTGCTCAGCTCCATGAACTCACTGATGTTCTCTGATCTGTGTACACATTGTTACGCCTCCGATACAGAAATATAAACCTTGTAACACGTCCATCTACTCATTCAGTTTGTCCTGAAGTCAGTATATAGTATTGTGTAAGATGTCTTTTAATGATACAGATGATCTGATACCTTTTTCTATTAAACACTGTTACCAACATTAAAACCTCGAACCTTGTCTGGAGTTGATGCAACTTAAAAAAAAAAAAAACATCATTGCATTAGAATATATTTATGTTCCCCTAACTAAAAGTTCTACCCCAGTGACAGTCTAGAACATTACTTTTCTGAGAGGAAATGAAAGTTCTGCCCATTTTTAACAGCACAGACTGATATTCACTCTCTCATTTCTCCTCTCCGCTGTAGGTGACGGATGGTAAGGTTGATGTATGAATGTGGGGGTGCAAATTTGGTCTGAGAGTGTCAACATACACAAGTCAAATGTAAAACTATAAGGTGAATTAGTGTAATCACATCAATATCTACTGCTTCATATGTAATTATAAACACACAAAAACAAGCAATTCCGTTAATAAGAGTAGTGTTGTGTATATTCAGCCTATTTGAACTCTTTTCCCATTATGTCTCCACTATTAATCTGATATGCAGGAATATTAATGCAAAAGGCTTTAATAATGATAAATGTGATGATAATTAAGCAGAAATGAGGAGGGCTGGTAAAACCTATTGTTGCATAAATAATAAATAAATTCATAATAAGCCGGTAAAGAAGTGTCATATTAAACATGCAAAATGTGTATTTTAGTTTTAATTACTTTTGAATAACTGACAGCTGTTTACATTCGGATGCAAATGTTTGGGCGCCCCTGGTCAAACTCCATGGTTCTATGTTGAACAATGAACACTTAAAGAGCCATTTGCATACTTAAAATGTTCTCTGCATGGTGGTCTTCAGATTGTGGAGAACATGTTGTATATGGATCTATATAGCACCACAAAGGGCTTTGCTATGGTTATGATGTCAAGAATGTAAAATGTTCATGTTGCCCATTTACTTCTAAATACACACTAGTGGTTTAAGGGGAACTCCACCCAATTTTCAAAATATGTAGGTTTCTTTACAGTAGTGGTGATAGGAACCAGGGGTCGCCATGACTACAACACAGATATAGACATTTTATTTACTATCCAGAACCACCAGTGAACCTACACGAGTCTTCTGAGTTTATATGGAATGTTGATGATGGAAAATAGTGGAAACTCTGAAATAATAAGTTTTCTTTGGGGACTATTTTGCCTCACAGCGCCCTGCATGTATCCCTCCACCATGAATGGAGTTTAAGTTCTCTAAACGATCATAAAACAGTGTCTCAGTCATCAGGCAGTGAATTCATAACCATTTCATGTAGGAACTTTCTGTGAGGGAGCTTTTAGAGGTGGACGTCTGGTTCCTATCACCACCACTGTGAACAGTTCTGACTCGGTCAGTTTATCTAGAACAGAGTGTTTCACACCAAACCACTCTGAACCACTCTGAATGGCTCTGTTTACATCTTAACCAGTTAATTAAGCAGAAATGTTGAAAAATCCCAACCTACACTCTTTAAAAAGGATGGTTCTCAAGGGTTCTTCAGTAAGGGAATGGTTCTATAGAGCCATTTCATGCTTAAATGGTTCTCTGCAAGGTGAAATTGTTCTTTGGATTGATGGAGAATGGTTCTATGTAGCACCAAAGTCATTCACATTGTAACAGAAGAAGAACCCTTTGTGGTGCTGTATCTCCATCAATCTGAAGAACCATTTCATCATGCAAACATTTCAATACAAAACTCATGGTTCTAAATAGATCCGTTGCCTTTACTAAAGAACCTTTAAAGAACCATCTCTTCTAGGAGTGCCGCCTGTAAGAAGGTGGAGCGCGCGTACCTGACCACACCGTACATCACGAGGATGTTGCCCAGGAGTCCCACCACGCAGATGACGGAGTAGAGCGCGGTGATGGAGATGGCGATGATGATCCCCGCGGGGCTCCTCACCGGGTTCTGCTCGGTGTAGTTGCGCGCGTCCGGCACGAAGCCCATCACGTCGTCCGGGAAGGTGACGTTGAACGGGATCACGGAGTACAGGTCGGCCAGTTCGGCAGCTCCGGGCGCCGCGGACGGCTCCATGCTCGCTGCTCGCGCGCTGCGCTGCTCGAAAAAGTTAAGGGGGCACGTTCCCAAGTCGCGCGCTCTCAGCCGCGCAGCGCCGAACCCACCGGTTAAAAACTCCACACGCGGTGCGCACGAGCCTCCCAACTGCCGAGCGGACGGTCTGAGCGTCTACTGTGCGCGCGCTCCTCGCGCTCTTCGAGAAGGTCTGGTCACTCCCCTTCGCCCCACCCCTCCCACCCCCACCTCACTGCCCCGCTCTTCTGTGAAGCGAAAAAAAACGACGTCAGAGCTGGAGAGCTGGGTGGCTTGGAAACTGCGCGTGCACACGGTTCTGCTGTAGAACTCAGTGGAAGCGACTGACTCAGTTCATCAACACTGACCTGTAAAAATGACTGATTATAAACAAATTATTACCTATAAGCAGTTTCATATTTCAGCACAGAGTCTCAGATTTTCTCTAGAATCATCTATAATCTATAATCTATAATCTATAATCATTTGAAATGCTGAGTCAGTGTTTTGACACACTGCTGTCCTTCCACTGAAGCCCATTTCACTCAGAAAGCATCGCCTCTGTTCTTTGGTTTCTTTGCTTTGTTTTATTTTTCTCCTCTGTTTCTGTGTCAAAAATGATGCCTTGTTTTCTCGTAATAATGACGTCATGTCTAGAAATAGTAAATGTTTCTTAAAATAATAAATTACTGTTTCTAAATATTGACTTAACAGCTCGAAATGATGACTCGTTGCTTTGAAAGACTGACTTAATAGCAGCATTAATTTTTGTTTTGTTTTACATTTACGGCATTTGGCAGACGCTCTAATCCAGAGAGACTTACAGTGTGACCCTTTTACACAGGTAGGCGAAGGTGGTGTTAGGAGTCTTGCCCAAGGACTCTTACTGGTATAGTGTGGGTGTTTACCCAGGCAGGGACTGAACCCCAGTCTACAGCGTAGAGGGCAGAGGTGTTACCCACTACACTATACCAACCACAACTCCTTCTCTGTTTCTGGAAGCTATATTTCAAAAATATTTCCTTACGTTTTCATCACCACAACTTATATATAATAGTGACGAGACACTTAGTGTCTCGAAATGATGAGTCATTGTTTCACTATATTGCAGCGTTCGCTGCTGTTAAAGCTGACAGATGCGTCATTGTGCTGTGTTAAGCCGTACAGGCAGCAGGGCTTTAGGCTCACAACTCGCTCTACACTCAGCTCACACCTGCACTCTCTCACTTCCAGCCCCTACTGACACAGTTCTTGCTGCCCTAACAAACAAATGCAGTGAAGGAAAGCTAGCCCCGCCTTCAAATAAGAGTCTTTGTCAGAATAAACCCAGAGAATAACTGCAGGAGAACAATAACCCAGAACATTTATCAAAGATGCTACACTACCCCCCTTACCAAAAGTCCTCACCCCGAGAACCACAAAGCCCTGGACTGAAGTGGGACCCACCCTCTTCTCCTGGGGTGGGGACCCCCTTGGCCGGGCAGTGATTCACACTGATTGGCAGATGAACATCAGCCCCATGGTGTCCTCCCCACTGGTGCGCCGGAGCGAAGAGATTAAAACGAGGCGTGCGACTGCTGCGTGGCTCTAAAGGCAGAAGCAGTCAAACACAGAATCTCTTCAGGTAAAGTGTTTTTTTAACACCAGTTATGAGTGTAAAACGTAGCATCACTGTATTTTGTAGATGCTCCAGCAAACCTCAGCAACACTGCTGGAGGAGCATCACCCACATAATATCTGCTCAGAGGTGGTCCTGTGGTGGTCCTGTTCCTCTAACAGATGGGGTTGTTAAGTTAAGTGACTTATTAGTCCCACAACAGGGAAATTTCACCTCTACATTTAACCCATCCGTGCAGTGAAACACCACATAGTGGTGAACACACACACACGGTGCCTGGGGAGCAGTTGGGGGTTGGGTGTCTTGCTCAAGGGCACTTCAGGCACATACTGTCGGCTCAGGGGATCAAACCAGCAACCTTCTGGTCACAGAGCTGCTTCCCTACCCTCCAGCCCACAACTGCCCCCAAGCAGTCTGTAGCAACAGACAGGCTGCATCAGTATCAGGTTCTCCATCCACCAATTATTTGCAAATTTTGAAAATGCACAGAATAGACTTCAGTGTAAAACACTCAAATATCACAAAAAGATTTTTCTGCCAGGATGAGGTGGAAAAGTTAAGACTATCACCAAAGCTGAAATGTGAAAAAGAAAGATGGAAAAAGTTTTTTTGAATAAAAAATGACGTAACAAACCAATCAGTAAGAAATGACTGGCCCTACAGACGGTCAGATCGCAGTTTTTCTAAGGTCAGAGTTTTTCTAAGGTCAGAGCTTTTCTAAGGTTGCTTTCAACACTGAAACGCTGATCAAAGCTAGTCTGAAAAATGTCTCTGCACAATGAGCTCCAGTTCTGTCTGGTGCGTTTGCGTTCCCAGATGTGAGATGGGCATCACTGGGGGGGCACAGAGATTTCAGCCCTCATTAGGTGGCCACTGCTCGTCCTGCCCGGCGACTCTGAGCTGCAAACAACACAGACATAAAAAAGACAGTTGTAAAGATGATTCTGCTTAAAGCAAAAACCAGCTTAAATCTCTCCATCTTGCTCGTTTCGCTGCCCCTAGTCATGGTAGACTACGACATCTAAGGTTACTTCATGTAGCTGTAGTGGATGGAAACACGGCTCAATTCACACTTTGTTCTAACATTAGTGAAATAGCTGAATGAAAACCCGGCCACTATCTGTTCGACTGATTTGCCTGTGAGACGCCTGGATGCTATTTTGGAAGTTAATCTGAAAATGTGAATTAATAGAAAAACTGAATTCTTTTTACAAATTGAATTTCATGAAATTGTACATCATCAAACATGAAATTCAGTTTCAGATATTTTGATCTCTCGCAAACCTTAGTCAGATTCAATTTCAGTTCAGAATTCAAGTTCATGTGGCGTCCAGGTTCAAAATAGCATACAAATTCAGATTTTTGTATTGAAATTAGAATTGCTAATGGCTTGAGTCTGACATCATGATTGAGGTATTTTGAGAATTTAAAAACCTTTTTTGAGAATTTGAGATTTTTTGAGAATTTGAATTGAAATATTAATTGGAATCTGAAATCGAGTATTTTTGAGAATCTGAATTCTTTTTAAGAATCTTTTTTACACCTCACCTGTGACTCTATTAGTATTATTGCAGTCTACATTGTCATTGTCCCAAAAAACCATACAGCTCCATTTTTGTAGATTTTTCATTTTCTACATCACGTGAACGTTTGAACAGCTGCCCTCTACATTGTGTAAAGATTTCATGAATGGCTGGACGAACACAAACACTTCAGAATGACGTGGAACAAAACCTCTTTACATTAACTTACACTGAAGGGGCGTTTTTGTCCTCTGCTGTAAAGTGACCGTTTCGGAGATCCATGTGTTTCTTTGGTCAGCGGTGATACGCAGGTTCGTCATTTCTCTGCTCCTGTATGGTTTATTTTGTGACATTAAGGAATGAATGTCTCTCCAGTGAAGCAGCTGAATGGATCTGCTCTGCTTCGCTGCACTGCAGCGTCTCCTGAGGCAGCTTCAGCTTCATTAAACACCATCGATCGTTCTTCTGTCACTGGACCAGCAGCGACAGAGGAGCAGATTTCTCCTGCTGATGAGGCTACAGACAGGAGGATTCCACCAAAGGCTGAAAACGCAGGAAAGGCCATTAGGGGTCAAAGCTTCTACAGGGCTGTATAGGTGAAAAGAACACGAGCAGAGAGTAAAGAAATCACTGGACGACAAAGCAGCCCACGCTGTAGAGTCCACTCACTGCCCACTGAGCCTTAAAGCATTAAAACCATTTCAAACCATTTTTCTCAGTTTAACTCAGCGAACAATCACAGCTTCAGACTTCATAGATCCTTATATCAACTAGACTGACACAATAAATCAAACATTCAGAAAGCTCCACTCTTCTTTGTTAAAGGGGAATTCAACTGACTTTTCAAAATTTCCTCCATAATTTCATTGTTGAGATGTAATCAGAGAGATTCAGAGTGGTTTGGTGTGAAATGGTTCAGATGTCTTTACAGTGGTGGTGATAGGAACCAGGGGTCGCCATGACTACAACACAAATATAGACATTTTATTTACTGTCCAAAACCTGGTGAAGCAGCTTCCTGTTAGAACCTATATATCTGGAACCTGTTTCCATTAGTAGGACGCTATCACTAGTTTTAAAGTGCATTAATTATCATTAATTATTTAGATTACTTGTTATGTTGATCCTCTTTTCCTTGTGTCTTTTTTACCTTTATTAATTAAGCTTCATGTTCTGTTAATTTTGTGCATTGCTTTTGTTATACACTGTTTTTACACTGATTCATTGTTTTATTTAAATAAACCGTGGAGCCGCATTGTGTATGAAAGATGCTGTAAGGTATAAGTAACAACATAATCATGATCTCTGCTGTTAATATTTATACAATAGATATGTTTTTGTTAATAAAATGTTTCACTTGTATTTATTTGCAGTTTACTAAGCGTGAATAATATGTAAGTATTTTGATTTAAATATGAAATATAACTACAAAGTTATTAATGATTTAGTTCTTTGAAGAAGTGATTCTTAAGTAGTAGTTAAGTCGTTATTTACGACCTTAATACCTTTTTGATGCATAAACTTTCCCTTAATGTTTAGGAAATCATTAATATAAATACTTACTGACCAGCAATAATCATTAATTGGACCCCTGTGACAAAGTTGTGCTTTGAAAATGCATTAATAAGGACACATTATATTACTTATTACACTTAACTAGAACATACACTGTAAAACGTGGCTCATCAGATCAACCTAAAAAAGACTTCATGCAGTAACAAGCTCATTTTATTCAACTCAAAAAATGACACTCATTCATGATGACATCCTGTATAAAACAAATAATGCGTGGCCACAACTTAGTAAAGCGTGGGAACGAGATTCTTATGCGTAACCATGACTTAGTAAGCCGTGATCTCGTT